CACAAGATAATTTAGTCGTGGTAAAAGTGTAAATAGCATGTTTTTAACTACAGTCATGGCCAAAAGTTTGGAGAATGACACAAATATTAGTTTTCACAAAGTTTGCTGCTAAACTGCTTTTAGATCTTAGCTTTTTGTTTCAGTTGTTTCTGTGATGTACTGAAGTGTGATTACAAGCACTTCATATGTTTCAAAGGTTTATCAACAATTACATGACATTTATGCAGAGTCAGTATTTGCAGTGTTGGCCCTTCTTTTTCAGGACCTCTGCGATTCGACTGGGCATGCTCTCAGTCAACTTCTAAATCCTGACTGATAGCAACCCATTCTTTCGTAATCACTTCTTGGGGTTTGTCAGAATTATTGGGTTTTTATTTGTCCACCTGTCTTTTGAGGATTGACCACATGTTCTCAATGGGATTAAGATCTGGGGAGTTTCCAGGTCATGGACCCAAAATGTCAACGCTTTGGTCCACGAGCTACTGAGTTATCACTTTTGCCTTCAAAAGCTGCTGGAAAATGCCTTGTTCATCAAACTTTTGTTGGGTTGTTGGAAGAAGTTGCTGTCAGAGGGTGTTTTGGTACCATTCTTTATTCATGGCTGTGGCTTTGGGCAAAATTGTGAGTGAACCTACCCCCTTGGATGAGAAGCAACCCCACACACGAATGTCTCAGGATGCTTTACTGTTGACATGACACAGGATTGATGGTAGCGCTCCCTTTTTCTTCTCCGAACAAGCTTTTTTCCAGATGCCCCAAACAATCGGAAAGGGGCGCCATCGGAGAATATGACTTTGCCCCAATCCTCAGCAGTCCATTCGCCATACTTTTTGCAGAAGATCAATCTGTCCCTGATCTTTTTTTTTTTTTACAGAGAAGTGGCTCCTTTGCTGCCCTTCTTGACACCAGGCCATCTTCCAAAAGTCTTCGCCTCACTGTGCGTGCAGATGCACTCACAACTGCCTGCTGCTATTCCTGAGCAAGCTCTGCACTGCTGGTTCTCCGATCCCACAGCTGAATCCTCGTTAGGAGATGATCCTGCTGCTTATTGGACTTTCTTGAATGCCCTGAAGCCTTGTTAACAAGAACTTAACCTCTTCCTTTGAAGTTCTTCATGATCCTATAAATTGTTGATTTAGGTTCAATCTTAGTAGCCACAATATCCTTGCCTGTGAAGCCACTTTTATGCAACGCAGTGATAGATGCACGCGTTTCTTTGCAGGCCACCGCGGTTAACAATGGAAGAACAATGATTTCAAGCACTACCCTCCTTTTAACATGCCAAGTCTGCCATTCTAACCCAATCAGCCTGACATAATGATCTCCAGCCTTGTGCTCATCAACATTCTCACCTAAGTTAACAATTACTGAATTGATGTCAGCAGGTCCTTTTTTGACAGCAATACATTTCCAAGGCAAAGAAGGACTATGCAATTAATCTGCTCACTCTTCATAACATTCTGGAGTGCATTACTAGTTTTAAAAAGCTAGCTCGGTTCTGAGCTGCCAACTAGATTCAGTTGAGAAAATGTTTGAAAGGATGGTGGTGAAGATGGCCTCCATCTTAAAAAAACCATCCCACCCACTGCGTTCCACTGTGGAGACCATGGACAGCTCCATCAGAGGCAGACTGAGACATCCCAGATGTGAAACAGAATGCTACCGTAGGGTCATTCATCCCCTCTGCAGTAAGAGTGTATGACTACTCAGTGTAACTGGTACTGGCATTATCCTGGTACACAACAGCACCAATGCAACAATCAGTACCTGTGCAATAATAACTGGATGCACATTTGTATGTCTGTGTCCTTTATGCTGTTTCTTTGTGGAAACAAAATGTTCAAATGTTTTTTTTTTCATTATTTAACTGCTGAAGGTTACAATAATAGCCTTCTGCCTTCGAGTGTTTACCTGTATTATGTTTCCCTTATTCTCCAAGTGTACAGTGGGGCAAAAAAGTATTTAGTCAGCCACCGATTGTGCAAGTTCTCCCCTTTAAAATGATGACAGAGGTCAGTAATTTTCATCATAGGTACACTTCAACTGTGAGAGACAGAATGTGAAAAAAAATCCATGAATTCACATGGCAGGATTTTTAAAGAATCTATTTGTAAATCAGGGTGGAAAATAAGTATTTGGTCAATAACAAAAATTCAACTCAGTACTTTGTAACATAACCTTTGTTGGCAATAACATAGGTCAAACGATTACTATAGGTCTTTACCAGGTTTGCACACACAGTAGCTGGTATTTTGGCCCATTCCTCCATGCAGATCTTCTCGAGAGCAGTGATGTTTTGGGGCTGTCGCCGAGCAACACGGACTTTCAACTCCCTCCACAGATTTTCTATGGGGTTGAGGTCTGGAGACTGGCTAAGCCACTCCAGGACTTTCAAATGCTTCTTACGGAGCCACTCCTTTGTTGCCCGGGCGGTGTGTTTGGGATCATTGTCGTGTTGGAAGACCCAGCCACGTTTCATCTTCAAAGCTCTCACTGATGGAAGGAGGTTTTGGCTCAGAATCTCACGATACATGGCCCCATTCATTCTGTCCTTAACACGGATCAGTCGTCCTGTCCCCTTAGCAGAAAAACAGCCCCAAAGCATGATGTTCCCACCCCCATGCTTCACAGTAGGTATGGTGTTCTTGGGATGCAACTCAGTATTCTTCTTCCTCCAAACACGACGAGTTGAGTTTATACCAAAAAGTTCTACTTTGGTTTCATCTGACCACACGACATTCTCCCAATCCTCTGCTGTATCATCCATGTGCTCTCTGGCAAACTTCAAACGGGCCTGGACATACACTGGCTTCAGCAGCGGAACACGTCTGGCACTGCAGGATTTGATTCCCTGCCGTTGTAGTGTGTTACTGATGGTGACATTTGTTACTGTGGTCTCAGCTCTCTGCAGGTCATTCACCAGGTCCCCCCGTGTGGTTCTGGGATTCTTGCTCACCGTTCTCATGATCATTTTGACCCCACGGGATGAGATCTTGCATGGAGCCCCAGATCGAGGGAGATTATCAGTGGTCTTGTATGTCTTCCATTTTCTGATAATTGCTCCCACAGTTGATTTTTTCACACCAAGCTGCATGTCCTATTGTAGATTCACTCTTCCCAGTCTGGTGCAGGTCTACAATTCTTTTCCTGGTGTCCTTCAAAAGCTCGTTGGTCTTGGCCATAGTGGAGTTTGGAGTCTGACTGTTTGAGGCTGTGGACAGGTGTCTTTTATACAGATAATGAGTTCAAACAGGTGCCATTAATACAGGTAACGAGTGCAGGACAGAAAAGCTTCTTAAAGAAGACGTTACAGGTCTGTGAGAGCCAGAGATTTTCCTTGTTTGAAGTGACCAAATACTTATTTTCCACCCTGATTTACAAATAAATTCTTTAAAAATCCTGCCATGTGAATTCATGGATTTTTTTTTTCACATTCTGTCTCTCACAGTTGAAGTGTACCTATGATGTAAATTACTGACCTCTGTCATCATTTTAAGTGGGAAAACTTTCACAATCAGTGGCTGACTAAATACTTTTTTGCCCCACTGTATGTGCCGTAGGGCTGGGCGATATGGCAAAAATAGAATATCACGATTTTTCCAATATTTTATCGCGATTTCGATTTTATCACGATTTTTTATCCATGAATAGCATAACTTCAATTGCGTATTAAAGAAGAGAAACATTGAATAAATAAACATTTATTCATTAGGGATAATCAGCACAGTGCTAACACACTTATATTTTAAACTCACACCAGAGATGATAAAAGCCCTGAGAGAAACAATTACAAAAATCAGTTTCTCTCGTTTTTCAAGTAACTTAACATAAATTAAAATCGTAAACATATTTAAAGTGCAAACGTGTCAATTGCAAACGTATTGTGCAAACATTAACTTGTTCAAAATACTATGTAGCTCCCAGTTGCTCATGTAGTGGATAGTTAAGCTCAAATACGGCTCTGATGTGCCGCTGGACCAGAGATCGCTTGTGGTAGCAAATAACTGCGCATTCTGAATATTTTCTGCAACAAGTCTCTAAATAAAGTAAAATTTTCCAGTGCAGATTGGAGACAACCCATAGAAGCACTGATTTGTTCTCATTTCAGAGAAAAACAGAACAGGTTAGATGCACCTAATAAATAAAATTACTAACAAACTCAGGAATCTTTCTTTGCTTCACTGTTCTGGTGCTGAAAACATCACTAATGCGGATCAAAGGAGATACACAGATGAATGCACCTCTTATTATTTGGAAACTACATTTACTGCAGCTGGCAGAGGCAGAGATTGTTTCTATTGATACACGGATTTACAGAATCATTTTAAATTGTAATAGGGGAAGACTGCAGGAGGGAGCCCACCAAAAACAAGAAACTACGAGTCTGATGAAACCCGCTGGTTTTCCATCAGGCAGTCACGGGGCAGCTCCAGCGACCCAGTGACCGAGCTCAGTCCGGTACCGACACTGGCTCGGCAGAGGGTGGACGAGGCGACGTCGTGCTCTGCTTAAGAAGAAGTGTTATTTTCCTGCTTCAGAAGAAGCGTCCAACGTGTTTTACGCTTTCTCCGAGACATGTCACGTCGCTAAGTTGTTAGCGCCGCGCGCTAAGGAAACCCTGCGTTCCTCTTCGGCACGAAAACCTCGTTGTCGCTCAGCCGCGGCCGAAGCCATGTTTGTTCGCACACAAGTGAAAACAAGCGGGGCACTAATATATTACTATGACTCACTCTGATTGGTTGAGGGTCAAACAAAGGCGTGTCATTCGCCTGGGGTAAGTTCCCTTTTCATTCAGAGGCAGAAATTCAACAGCAGAGCTGTGAATCGTGATAAAAAGGTCTCTCAAAAATGACAGACCGTCAGATGTGTAGATCGTAAAACGGTCTAAAATCGTCATATCGCCCAGCCCTAATGTGCCGCCTTACTAAGTGAACATCCCCACTCTGGGATCAATAAAGTTTATTTTATTCTAAACACATTTAGCCACTTAAACCACTGACCTCGAGCTCAGAGTCACTGGATTCAGGCTGACTGGCTGCTCCGGCCAGAAAGGGCAGCATAGGCTGGCCCATCTTTGCCATGCGAGAGATTAGCTTGGCTTTGGTGGCATCTGGATTCTGAAATTAAATGACAAGTGTTTTCCCAGTGTGACCTTTGGGACCTTCATTTAGATAACATATTTAGTGCTGCTGATTACCGCCAACTGTTCACTCAGAGAATTCGACTTGGCACGAAGCGGTGGCTCCCTTTGGGAAAAAACAGAAGTCAGAGACAGGAAAGGTTCCAGTAAGCAACAGCAAGGTGGTGGGAAATAATTCTATGTTCTCAGACTTGAATCTCACCCTGGTCTGCCTGGACCTGATGCAGTAGCTGGTACAGGTGAATCGGACACCAGGTTTTCCATACTGGGAGCAGGAGATGGAACAGCAGAGTCTCTGGAACTAGTACTGGTCTGATCTGAACCACTGTCTTTGGAAAACTTCACCTGCAAAGCAGGAGCAGTGAAATTCCCATCATGTTCCATTAACAGCACAAGTCACCAGGAGGAAAGAGATGGTGGAAGATGTTTCACGTTCTTAAACACCAAACTATGAGAAGAGATCAGGAGAGATGAAGAGGAGTGCTCAGAGATACCCTTCGAAGCTCCACTTCAAAGATTAGAGTGCTGTCGGTGGGGATTCGGTTCGAAACACCTGTAGACCCATAGGCTAGACTGGGTGGAACAATAATGAGACGATGACCCGTCTTCTTCATTCCCAGCATCCCTTCCTCCCATCCCTGTCCACACAGACAACACACGAGTGTAAAGAGACATGAACATGAATTCATTAGGCTCCAAGAAGCTGAGGCAGTAGTAGAAGATCCTACCGACCGGTTTAAACTGGATTTTTACCTGCTAAGTATTAAATGTTTACGGATCACTTTGTGCAATAATTAGATTGGTGTTAATCCAAAAAGATAAAAACAACAAAATGCTCTCAAGTAAAAGACGACTGTGAGAAGAGATCTTTATAAATGAGCAACACACGCTCGAAGAGGAGGAACGTGGACATTTTACTGACTAAACCAGGTTTTCACTCACCTTTATAACTTTCCCAGCTCCAATTTTAAGTCGTAGAAATTTCTCTTTGCTCTGATTGGAATCAAAGACCTGAAATCACATTTAAAGCAGAATGAAACTGCTTTCATCACGTTACGCCAGTGTACAAGAGAAGAAGTGAAGTGAAAGGGAGACCTGTCCCATGGTGTGGTTCTCTAGGAGCCAGCCCGTATAAACCACCTCCAACAGGTCACCGTTCTCCACGGCTTGGCCTTCACCGAGTCTCAAGTCCTGAATCAGCACCGAGTCTAGAGAGGATGTGCTGTTCGCTTTAGCCAAACAAACCTGAAAAAGAAATCAAAGTGGATCTAAGTGTCTGCAGACCAAAGAAAGATCTGACCCAACAGCAGCACTCGTATGTGAGGAGCAGGAGTCAGACTGATGAGATGAACTAGGGTCATGACACTACGCACCTCCAGCGTTCTTCTGACTACACCTGGAACCAAACAACAACAACACATCCTCCTAATGACCCCAACAGCTGTGGAACCTCCTCTGTCTGACCTTGTCAGCCTCTCAGACGGTTCTGGAGGACTTCTGATCCCCTCGTCTCTAGTGCTGCTTCAGCTCATCGATGTTCTCTGAAGATCCCACCTCAGTGGTCCAGACTGGTCTGGACTCGGACTCTGCTGCTGTGTTTGTGACCACTGTTCTGTTTCATGACCTTGTAGAACTATCTAACCTAAAGGTGGTTGTTTCTTCTCCTGCAGTTCTCACCTCTCTGCAGAAATCTGCTGCACTTTTCTCCGATTCAAACATCAGGGACCAGTTCTGCCTCTGGTCGTCGTAAAAGGTGCAGTAATTGTTTGGCTGCACCTATAAGGCAGAAACAAAAGTAAGAATTTTAACGTTTCCCTTTTATCTCAGGAACACTTCTAATCTGCACTAGGGATGCACCGATGGATCGGCGTTTGATCCCAATCGGCCGATAGCGCCCCTATCGGTTTTGATCTGAGTTTTCAAAAAAGATCAAAGCAGACCGATCAGGTAGGGTTGTCACGGTAACCAGTGTAGTGGTGAACCCCGGTAAAAAAAGTTGACAAAAATAATAACCGTCTAACAAACATATATTATCTCGGTGGGTTTACCGTGGCTGCGGTGTAGGCGCGGTGACCCTTACCAGCCACCGTATCATCTGCTGAAGTTGCCGGCGGCACATGCGCACTTTGTTGTTTACAACCAATACTTTCTTGAAGCTAAAGCTGAAATAATGGCCAAAGGAGGAGACGGCAGCTCTCAGGACATTTATTATCCCTCAGACAAGACAAAGTGGGAAGTACGTGCATCTTTTGGATATTTGAAGAATGCCGAGGGACAGCTGATAGAAGACGGCTATCCTGTTTGCAGCACGTGCATAAAAAGTGTCTGTGAAAGGCAGCAACGCTTCAAATCTCATGACACATCTGCGTGACCATCACCCACATCTCTGCAGTCAACGCAAGGCAAGCTAACGTTAGCGCTTTAGCTAAAATGCGTGATCCGAGGATTTGGGTTGAGGGAGAAAGCAACGAGTCGCTATATAAAGCAGCCGCAGCGCCGCTACCTGCATATAAACCGTGTCGCGGACACCGCCATGTTGAAATGACGCTATGCATGACGGGGCTCCCAGGGGCAGATAAGAGTTGGTCTCTCTCCGAGAATAATTATGAATTTAACAACGATTACTGCCTGATGACACTTTCCCACATCTGCAAAGCTCACTGGAAGGACACAAACCGAGGACAATATTTTCCTGATATAGGGTTTATTACTCAAGTAAGGGTAAAAAAGTATCTGATCAGAAGACTACTTGAGTACTGAGTATCACCTGATCTAATATTTTTTAAATGATGACATCAAACTGACATAAAATAAGAAGTTACGTGCAAATATTGGCATTTTAAAGACTAAAGGGGAAAAATGTAAACAAATAAACAAAATCATTACAAAATAACACATTTTAGGCAAAATTTAGACACAAACTGAGGACAATATTTCCTGACATACAGGGTTTATTTAATTGTGTGAAAATGTAGCACGTTTAAAAAAATACTGCGATAATACCGAAAACCGTGGTAATTTTGGTCACAATAACCGTGAGGTTAAATTTTCACACCGTGACAACCCTAATACAGACCATTTTAGATTAGGTTACATTTCCTTTATTCCCAGATTATGTAGTTAGTAGCACTCATTATAATGTTGTAGAACATTTCTGGCCAATCCACGTGATCGGTATCGGTGATCGGCAGCAAAAAACCTGATCGGTGCATCCCTAATCTGCACCCCTCCATGACTCGACTCACCGTGAAAATAAAGCCCCCGTGAATCTTTGCAGTCGTCACTTGTTTCTGCTGACTCAAGTACAAAAGCACTTTGTACTGAGGAGAAGAAGAAAGGTCCTGGTTCATTAAAAGCACAAGTCAGACCCATAATCTCAGCCAGGTGACCAAATCTAACCTCTTTTGTTGCGTGGCTGCCCAGCACGGCTGCTCCCAGCTTCCCCTGCTTCACGTACTGTCCACTAACACTGCTCAGGACAAGAGGGACAACACAGCATTTCACTGGACTCACAACGTGACCCGTTAGCAGCTTCAGGCGGGCTCTGAGTACGCCTTCAAGCTTGTTTAACTCAGATTTAAAGACGAGAAAATAGAACTGTTCTTGAACAAAAGTGTGAAATGATCCTAAACTCACTATCTGAAGGCTTGGACCGCTGAAGCAAACAGAACTGCAGGAGCTCCAGCAGGGGGCGCTGCTTTCTGACTGGCTGCTGCAGAAACCATGTCACAACTAATCAGTGAAAACTCCATCAGGGTCATGAGGTTCTGGTTCTGCTGGTCTCACCTGGACCGGAGCTCTTTTTGGGCTGTTTGGGGGCTGTGTACTGGAACGACTCGTTGCCCTGACTAGTGTCTTGGTCTAGTCCAAACAGGGAGGCCAACTTGGCTCTAAAGGACAAGAAATACTCAAATTAACAACATATATCGAAAAACAGTAAACTCTCAGCACACACACACACACACACACGATGAGGAGGCAGGGGGTTTAGGGTTCTGGACGACTTCTGATCCCCTCGTCTCTAGTGCTGCTTCAGGTCACCGATATTCTCTGAAGGTCCCACCTCGTTAGACTCTGCTGCTGTGTTTGTGCCCACGGTTCGGTTTCATGACCTTGTTTGGTCCCAGCAGCAGACGTCAGCCAGACTCCCGTCAGAAGACTTTGGTATCCAGAGGAGGTCGTAGTGGACCCAGTGAGTAGTGGCTGCAATACCAGCCCAAACCATCAGCCCTCCACCACCGTGCTGCCAGCTGGGATCAGCCAGAGAGCCCCAGCAACAGCATAAGACCATGCACAGGAAGGTGGAGATTTGAACCAGAAACTCTGTGGCTGTTAGAAAATGGCGCTGGAGGGCAGCTGTATGAGTGTTACCAGAGGAAGATCAGATTACTCGGTTTGTCTTGAGACTGAAGGAACTGACCTCTGACCCTGTTCTATACAGAGACGTTTATGCAGGTGAACATCTAACCGTCAGACCTGTGGACAGATGCTGTAGCTGCGTATGCTAACGCTCAGCCTTCTGTCTGCGTTAAGTGCTTGTTATCAATAAAAATACTGAACTGAACCTTTAAGGTAATCCCAGAAGCTTCCAGCAATATGTGTGTTTTCTGACCGCTATTCTGGTGAAGTCCACAGGTGATCAGAGCTGTCAGCAGAAGAATCCCTCTCTGAAACCATCAAACCTCAGCCGCTTCCTATGTGTACTGGCCTCTAACCAGAGGGCAGACGTGCAGCAACACAGAATAGGTGATTTATTTAGCAACAAAGAAGCAAAACGGTGATCAACCACACTGTTGTTCGTTTTTTAATCTACAAATCAGCTGAAGGTGCCGGCTGCCTCGTACTGACCCCTGGAACTCCTTCCACTGGTAATCACCGCTGTCTCCCAGAACAGACATGTTGAAGAGCTTGGGGGCCTCATCTCCAACGGTTAAGAGTTGGGATGAGGAGGGGCAGGATCCAGCGCTTCGCTCCAGGTTTAACCCCAAATCTCCGGTCCAGCTCTGCAACACCTGTGTGGCAGATTCAACAGCGCCGCAGAAGATGGGACAAGCACATCTATGCTGACTGATGACTGCGGCGGCTCAAGTTTTCGCCTGTACTTGTTTAACAAGTAGCATGTGAGAGGACTTAGTGGCAGAAACCCCTCCTCCCTCCTGCTGCTGTTTCACACAATGGTCGTCCAGAAGAAGAGGGTCACATGGCTCACTGGGAAGGTTTAAGTCTGCCTCATCACTGAACATCTGTTGGTTCCTCTGCAGCATCTAAATGTGTTTCCAGCCTGAGGGCCACCGTCCCTGTAGACCAGGCCAGGTGTGGTTTCAGCCTGGGTGTTTTCACTTATCGCATGTTTAATATGAGCTTAGCTGGGTCCGCCTTCACAGCATATTATATCCACACTCTGGTTTTAAATACATAAATGAGAGAAGCTTCATTTATTTATTGTCTCTTTATAGTTTGTGGTAAACAACAAATGAAAAAGTTGACTTAAGCGTCAACAAAAAAATGTTTTGATTTTTAAAGGAAAATGAATGGTTTATGATAATTGTTTAATTACCTGTAAACCTTGATTCATGAAACTGTTTACATCTTATAGAGAGAAACTAGTGATAAGCGTGTTTAACTCCAACATGAAGCGTGAGCCCGTTTAAATCAGACTTCAGGTCAAAGTGCCTAAAGGCCTCATTTATGGAGATCAGAGGAGGAGGCATGTGATAACTCACTGGTGTTGTGTGGAGATGCGTTTCCCCGCCCAATAGCTCCTCAGTTTCCCCTCCAAACTCAGTTCATTTTAACACGTTCTACCAGAAAACATGTTCGTGTCTGACAGCTGCTACCACCACGTGTCCAGGAGGAAAACTGGGCCCCGTGTTTAATCAGCAGCCTTCACCCGCGGATAACAGATCCGGAAGGGTTTCAGCTCATCTCAACAGAAGGAAACAACCGTCTCAGCGCGCCGGGGGGGGGGGGGGGGGATTATGGACGGGGAACATATTTGTACGCAACACCAGAGCAGAGGGGCTGGTTAACCTGAATAACCTGAGAAAAGAATCCAATAAAACACACTTATCACACGGCTTGCAACAAAACCACCCTACCAACATTAAAACGTGCCCATGTTAATGCATGATGTGTTTTCTGTTCTATGATACAAACAGAAGATCACTTTAAATATTAAATCGTGTGTGTGCTGTCGCGTCAACCGCTTCAAACCACGATAGTCACTTTTTCAATTCACCAAATAATCCAGCCTAAACCTCGGTGGCACACTCGCTCCAATAATACTAAAACCAGGTTTGTATGATAAAGTGTTTTACTGAGCTAGGTGTCTGATTATTTACCCCACAGCCCAACACAAGCACACAGACAGCAGCTTTATGTTTACAGGAGCTAACCGACAGGCTCAAATGTTTACTGTTTCATTTAAAAACCTTCAGAGAAGTGTTATTAGCTTGTTAGCTACAAGCCTAAAGAGTTGGGTCAATGCAAACAGACTCACCCCCCCGTGGGTGATAGAAAGTCCCCGTCCTCGTCGTCCCCGCCAAACATCGTTACAGATACAAACCTTGTCCTGCTCACAAAAACAAACACAGAGGTGTTAGATGTTTAACATGACTGATTGTGACTTCCTTTTCCGGTTTGAGCTGAAATCAGCTGACTCTCCACCTGATGATGACGAGGCTGAAGTTAGCTTCCGATTGGGGGAAACGGCTAAAGAGACATTACACCCCATTTTTCTCTACTCTGACCATCTTTAATCTGCTCTAGCTCAAAAACTACAACACCCACACTATTCAAACCTGTTCTAGATTATTCTACAATAATAGCAGATTGCATACAACCTTGTTTGGGATTTGTGAAATCTTTCCCTGATTTGTGAAACTTCAACAAAGCCAGATGTATGTGTTTTTTCAGCATCTGGCCAACGATGGAACAGATGTAGCTCAAAAACTACAACACCCACACTGTTCAGACCTGTTTTAGATTATTCTACAATAATAGCAGATCAAATAAAACACAGTGTGGGATTTGTGAAACCTTTCCCTGATTTGTAAAACTTCAACAAAGCCTTAAAAAATCGGTCTGCGCATGCCCCATAGTAGCACATGTCAACGAGCACAGATAGTCCGACTATCTTGAAAATACGCCTCCAAAACAATTCCTCCGCTCCTCCATTGTTCTAACGGCGTAGTCTTTTTCTCCCGGGCCGGCTCTCAGACAGGAACCCCGTCATATTACCGTAATGTATCGTACACCTCTGAAAAGCGTGGAGTGTCACCTTTCTGAAACCAGGACTGAGGCAGTGGAAAGGATTGAGCATGGTGAGATGGATGAGAGGTAAGACAATCTGAGTCTCTGAAAGATATCTGCAAGAAAAAGATTTTTTGTATGTCTTTGGGAATGGAGAAATATAAAATACCTGAAAATTTATTTTTTTTGCAGCAAAAAAGCGGAACTTCTCGTGAATCTGGAATGTGGGAGGATAATAAAGTTTGAGGCTGAATATTTCTGCTTGTTTTTAATTAAGACACGCAAACAAAGTAATTTTTGCATAGTTGTGGCTGTTCTGTAACTGCTACATGTCACCGAAAAAATACAATCTGTGTTGAAGTTTCACAAATCAGGGAAAGGTTTCAGAAATCCCACACTGTGTTTAATTTGAACTGCTTTTATAGTAGAATAATCTAGAACAGGTTTGAATAGTGTGGGTGTTGTAGTTTTTGAGCTAGAGCAGGTTAAAGATGGCCAGAGTAGAGAAATATTGGGTGTGGTAGCCCTTTAGCCGTTTCCCCTAATCGGAAGCAAACTTCAGCCTCGTCTGATGATGTGTGAGATTCACCGCTAGAGAGCGCCAAAGACCACCACGTGAGCCCCAGCTGCAAGTCACAGGAAGTCTGATGAATGAGATAATGTCAATTCCTGTTAAAAAAGAAATCAAATATCTAGGAGTTAGGATAGTTGCAGACGAAAAACAAAGAGAAGAAATCAATATGAAAGAAAAAACTGATCAAATACAAAAAACTCTGAACCAATGGCTTAGCAGAGATCTTTCTATTTGTGGGCGAAACTTATTGTCCAAGTCTGAGGGTATTTCCCAATTGATCTATCCATGTCAATCCCTTTATATCGCTCCAAAAACAGTGAAAAATATTAACACTATTATATACAAATTTATATGGAGAAATAGAACCCACTATATAAAAAGATCCCAGTTAGTTAAAGAACATAAAAATGGAGGTATGAAATCTGTGGATTTTGAAGAAATGCTGGGAACATTTAAAACAAAGTGGCTGAAAGAATTTCTAATAAAGACAGATTCAATTTGGTTTCATATTCCAAAAAATGTCTTCAAGAAGTTTGGGGGACAAAACTTTCTTTTGAAATGTGACTTTGATTTACCGGTCGATCTACGTCCCAATCCTCACCTATGGTCATGAGCTTTGGGTAATGACCGAAAGAACGAGATCGCGGATACAAGCGGCCGAAATGAGTTTCCTCCGTAGGGTGGCCGGGCTCAGCCTTAGAGGTAGGGTGAGGAGCTCGGACATTCGGGAGGGACTCGGAGTAGAACCGCTGCTCCTCCGGATCGAAAGGAGCCAGTTGAGGTGGTTTGGGCATCTGGTCAGGATGCCTCCTGGACGCCTCCCCGGGGAGGTGTTTCGGGCATGTCCTGCCGGCAGAAGGCCCCCGGGTCGACCCAGGACACGTTGGAGAGGTTACATCTCCAATCTGGTCCGGGAACGCCTTGGGGTCCTGCCGGAGGAGCTGGTGGACAAGGCCGGGGAGAGGACGGCCTGGAGCTCCCTAATTGGGATGCTGCCCCCGCGACCCGGACTCGGATAAGCGGAGGAAGACGAAGACGAAGACTTTGAAATCACTAAATTGCCTTTTAAATTATCTGAATTTCACAAACAAGTATTGCATTATTGGAAGATGGTATTTACCCATAATTTTACTCCACATTGTGCCGCCTTGTGGAATAATCGAGTAATTGTTTCAAACAGAAAGTGTTTGTTTAACCAACAGTGGTTTGACCATCTTTGTACACGATATTATGGACAAAGATGATGAAATACTACAGCTACAGAATTTTAAATACAAATTTAATAACATTCAATGTTCTCTTCAGGAATATGAGAAAGTATGTAAGGCTCTACCAGTGACTTTGATGCAAATGATAAAAAACACAATTCTCTTCTCTAAAGTTCAAATAAAACTTCCTAATTTATTAATAGGAGAATTGAACATCACAGAAAGAAAATGTGAAAACAAATTTTTAAATGGAGCCTTTAAAAATATATGATGATTATGATAGAAAGATTAAACTAAAAATACTAGGAAATCCAATAATTGAAGAAAAACAACTAAAATTTATAAAGTGGCCTATAATGCCCAAAGTAAAAGAAATGAAATTTCAAATTCTTAACAACTACTATCCATCAGCAGAGACACTGAGGAAGAGATTTGGTTTAGAAGTTGACCCTTGTGAATTCTGTCAGGGAAGCCCTGAAGAAATAGAACACTTGTTTTTCAGCTGTCCTGTCAGTAAGAGGTTTTGAGTCCATTGTTGGTTAAGAAATAAAATAAGAGAACTTGATCGTTTTACAAATGATGATATTCTTATTTACAATTCTAAATTAAAGGGGAATAATTCATTGTTAATTAACATTATTATTATTATGGGTAATAAATACCACATCCACAAAAGCAAATGGAAAAAACAACTGCCAAACATGAACTGTTTCACAAATGAATTCCATATGTTCTTATCCACTTTGGTTCATATAAAAAATTCAAATGCAACTGCAAAAGCCATTTGTCATGCTGCAGAAAAATGTTTAATTTTGTAATCTTGTACAGCGCTTTGTGATTTATATCTGTGAAAGGCGCTATATAAATAAACTTTACTTACTTACTTACTTTGTGATATAAGTGCCTCTTTTTTAAGTTTCTTATTTGTTTTTCTTTTATTGTTACTAAAGATGCCTTGTATGTTTCCATTATGTGTTGTTGTCTCACGAGAAATTGTAATAAGCATTTAATGATAATTAAAAAAAAAAAAGGACGTCTGATGAATTCATAGACGCCTCATTAGATGCTGGAGAGCGTCGCTACTAGACTGGCAAGCCAGACTAAATAAATGTATTATTTAGTCTGGCCACGCTCCATTGACGGCTCTCGGTTGTGGGGCGGGTTCTACCGTTGTCTTTCAAATGATCTCCGCATTCCACTCGACAATGAATGTGACATTGGCTGTGTTCGAGATGAGCCACTTCTGCGCAGATTAGACCAGCGGTGATTGGCGAGCAGCGCATGCCGGTTGGATTTGAGTCCAACATGACGCCGACTTGCTCTGACGTCATGCATACGTAGGCAACAATAGCCTCGTGAGATCAAGGCGGCCGCAGATTTTGGAGCAAGGAGCTGCAGTTGCTCTCCATCAGCTGCAAAACCTAGGGGAAGACGGGAAACGCCTGGCTCTCACCTGATCTAAAATCTGATTGGTTCACATTTTGATCCAAACATCTGGTGGTAGAACATGAAATGTTAGTTGGTCACATGTATTCTGTAAATCATGTTACGTTGATGATGACGACTATATAGGCCATAAAGAGAAATGTGTTTTGTTTTCTTTTGTCACGTTTCCTATGAGCACACTGAAGCTACAGCCAAGGGCGGAAATCCCATTTCAATTTTGGGGGGGAAAATAAACAGTAAAACTTCAGAGAGTAATTTTTGGGGGGGTATCCACCGCTGAAATCCCACCGCCACACCTACAAGATCCCAAGTTTGTTTTTTTTTTGCGCCGTTTCCCGAAGAAGCAGCGGGAACTACTATGTTGTCGCTTGTGATCACAGCCGGTGGGCAGCAAGGAGGAGCAGGCAGGGCAAGGTGAAGATACAGCATAAGTTACCGAGTTTAAAATTAGAAAGGTAGGAGTGGATATAATGC